GGCGCAAGTTATTTTGCTTCGACGAACGATCCTTAATCTCTCTCTCCCTCCTCCCCCCCCCTCTCTCTCTCTCTCGGACGAAAGGATTAACGACTAATTACCGCCTCGCGTGTAAGGGCGTGCACAGCATGGGTATTTTCACGCTCGGGAGAACACGGCGGCGATCCTGATTTTGTGCAGTAAAACACGAGAAGCGGACGGCAGACTATCTGCGCGCGATGTGAAGAGTATGTACGTGCACATACAAGGTAAACGAAAGATTCCTACCTGGTGTGGGCTGCAGGGTGTCGGGGACGGGCTCCGAGGCTATTAGCCAGCTGTGCTTACAGGGCGCATAAGCGCAACCTCCACCTCCGAGCTACGCCGGCTTTGTCTCTGCATCCTGGAGAAAAATAGCAAGATGAGTTTTAACGTCAAGTTGCGCGCAAACCATATGTCTTGTAACTTATTCAATTAAATTCTAAATACGATACAATTCCGAAATAAAATCACAGCGCCACTGCGCTGAGATCTCGCTCGTCTCTCTCTAGTTTAGAACAATATATTTTAATGAACCACTTAATGTTAGAAAAATAATGAGGAAATGATTAAAGGATTAGAAGGCTGCGGGAGAATGTAGACGCGACGTAATAGCGGCCAGGTGGTCTACTCTTGAGTTTATATCCCTCGAAAGTTTATATTGGATTTCATATTTAATGCAACGCACACCGTCGACGTCGCCGCGTTGCGTCACGCCGCGGTACCGCCTCCGAGATAAATTATTTATGTCGCGGTGCTTTGTCTTCGTCTGCTTCCGAAGGGTGGCGACGAGGTACGACGGGCTGTTGGGAAAAACGGATGATCGGTGTAGAAACCGTGATAAAACCCCGCTGTGAGCGAAAATCGCGTCGATCTTTACGAGCTTTCGCGAGAGGGGTAGGGGGGGGAGGAGGGGGAGGGGAGGGATACAGAGACGCGCAGAATATTTCTTTGTCAAAGGAGGACATTGAACCCTCAATTCGCCCTTCTATCGTACCGTATAGGTGATCGCTACATTACGTCAAAGAGAATCACTGTAATATTATGTCGAATTGAAATACGCTTTTAAGAGCAAGAGAGTCCCTGATTTAACAGAAACAAAATAACATTTCACGTCTACGCAATAAAAAAAACATTTCGTATTTGTGTTGGAAATGATCCACTCAAGTCCTCGTTAATATTTTGAGTTGTACTTTTTATCGCGTTCGAGCGTTAATTGAACATAACGTGACTCTGTTATTTATAAAAACAGTTTGTGCTAAATTTATATTCAACATTTCTAAGTATCAAAATAACACAATTTATGAGTTAGTAAACAAATAATACAAACATAATGTGTTTTATAAAAGTAAATTCAACGCTGAATGAATAATTTAAAATGTCAATTAACAATATCAATTTAACATATCGTAAATGTCAATTATACTTAAAAAAAAATATACCTCCACGGTTAATTTACGAATTGTATCTGGATATTACTTTTTTATTTTTCATCTTCTTAAATGACACTTGTGTTACTTTCTAACATATTCATCTTACGTCAAATTGACACATTTGAGTGGACCGTTTGGGAGATACGTAAAATGTATTAAATTTTAAAATACAAATTTTCCAACGGAGTAAATAAAACACTTGTAACTTAAAAACTAGGAAAAACTGATACATCAAGTATATTTGCCGCTATCTGAAAACTCAGGAGAATGAACGGTAGGTACCTCGCGCATATCGACGAGAAATATCGAGACGTTTAATTGCTTATTCGCCGATGGCGTTGCCGAAACTGCGCGTATAAAAGAAGCATAATACGGCCAACACCGTACGTGACAAGAATTTTGCTTGCCGCTTACTTATTGACCAGAATGGCGCTTACGAAACCATTAATAACGCACAAGAGGGTAATTTCCCAGCCAAAGAGAGGGCTACGATTGGCCCTTATATTGCCACGCTCGCCGGGCGCTGCTCTCGCGGCAGGACACAATGAAGAGCCATCAATTACCCCTTGGGTCCTTCGCGATCGAATGAAGCTATTAAGACGGAACGGTACTGGTATCAAGCCCCGTAATCCCCGTTACAGCTTTTCTCGCGGATGCTCCTCTTCCGCACGCCGACGCGGAACGACTTAATAACCATCCGGTGATAAGGATCGAGGATCCCGCGTCGCTATTCGTCGGCTTTTTGTCACCGGTAACAACTAACCTTCGACGATAACGATAAAAATCGATCCGAAAGAGCCCCGTGTATTAATTAGACGATGACTCGCGTGGTTGTTACCTTAATTAAGCTCTCATCAATCGCCCCCGGATTTCATGTCTCCCGCGCACGAACACAAGCGAGGTACTCCTCTCTTCTTGCATTAGTGAACGCGACCGATGGAAGAATATTCATATATAATTATAAACCTCTCTGTCGAATGAAAGTGTACACCCACGGAAAAGATTTCTGATTCCAATAGAACTAAAATAGAATCGATATAGGGACAATGATTAATTTGTTGGAAGAAGAATATTTTACTGTAAAAAGTGAAAAATTCTTAAATCTAAAATAAAATAATAATGAAACACAATTTCTGTTTTTCTTTTTGCGCCAAATACTATAACATTTAGACTACCGGATAAAGATATATTCTAAACGCAAGAATATTTAAACTTAAATTTATATAACTCTTGTCTCGAGACAAATAAGTCAATGTTAAGGAGAGTTCAATTTGAGGGAGAAGAATAGAAAATATTGATTTAATTTCAATATACAGTTTTATTTTTATATTGCACAAAAGATCGCGATAAGATGAAATATGAATATTTTTTGCCTCGTTATTAGAAATTCTTTCGGAGGGAGGTATTTCTTTTTATTAAATTTCATCCAATTTTCATCCGATGGCAAGAAGTGAGAGCGTACAGGGATCAGGATTTGAAAAACACTTTTTGCACCCCCCAAAAATCTTTCCTAACTGAAGGGAGGGAGGAGCAGACGATGATTAGCGAAGGCTGGAGCGTGGCGGCAGCGCATCGATTTATTTCCGCTCGAATGAGGAGGTGGAGACGGCGGATTTATAGGATTATCGATTGCAAACTTGTCAACGTCAGTCCGTTGCCGTGCCATTTGAACTCCCCCCAAGCCCGGCGGAACGTTCCGCGTTTACATTTTTCCAAAGCGCCCGACACACAATCGCCGGCGCGGCATCGTTCCCTCCATTGTTCGCGCGCGAGTTCGCGCGTTCGCTCGCAATTTGTATCTGCCGCTCCATCCCGACCTGCTATGTTATTAACCAAAAGCAGACCGCGCGAGATACATCCACGGGGCGCACTGCCTCTGCAGCCCGATAAATCTTATTGCAAAAACGCACACGCTGGAGATATGGCTCGGAGCTGTAATGGGCGCGAATATAAGTGCGTTCTTTCCGCAAACATAGTTGCTGCCCCCACCCCCTGACCACAGTCGTTACAAATAATCGATTAAATTTCATTCCACGTGATTCGCAGGTGTAAATATGTTGGTTGAATTTTATCAAATTATCCGGAAATGTGTTACCACAATATTAATCCGTTGATAAACCCCGATCACAATTAAATTGAAGTAGTCTTTACTAAACGTTCTTTACTGAACGGTTACCTTTCTAGAGTGATTCTCTAGTAACAATACTTTCCTCTCTTTGTTTTATCAAATCTATCGAATTTACTTCTAACGAATTGACGAAAGTTTGTTATTTCGAAAAAGAGAGGAAGAAAAAGGATATAATTGTAATTATTAATTATTTAATTGTAACTCTGAAATAATTCCTCTCAATTCTATTCTTAATAACGGTAATGAGTTGCAGATAAAAAAACTCCTGATACGAAGAACTCTTTCGACAATTGGTCGATATTTCTGCTGTAAGTAAATATACACAGAGAACGATTTTCCAATTATCAAGATAAACAGTAATATAAAGAGAGCAAGCATCAGTTGAACGTTACTTTTTCTTCTTTCGCATCAGCAATTTTTAACGTAATAAAGAGCAAATAACTCGTAGAAACCGATATATCTTCTAATCCAATCATACTACTGCACGTTACACGTTTACACAATAACGAACATTAACAATCAAAAATAATTATGTACTAAGGTAAATTCGTTTACGCTCGTTTTTTATCAAGTAATTCAGAGAATATGGTGGATGGAATGTAATCTCATATTAGAGCAATTATCAGTATCAGATAATTTATATAAACCTACTTATAATTAATACGATTAACACGAAGGATATGATTATAATTATTAGAAATAATAAATACAGTAGGTTACATATCGCTAGATGGACGTATAGTAGACAAATGTTTAAATTCGACTTTCTCGAAAACCATGTTCCGTAAAAGAAAAGAATGTTGTCACTCTTTTCACTTACTTCAAGGCTACATTATTCTCCAGTTGTAAGATAAACTGCTCATTTCTCACTCATTCTATACTAACTCAGATCGCCGTTCGAAGAAAATAGATTATATTATGTCGCATGATTTAATTAAATCAAGTGTGCAAACTTAAGAAGTTATCTTCTCGCGACTCTGCAGAGTCGCGCTTTGTGACGGGAAATAAAACAAATCATTTTCCTACTCTCTGTGACGAGAAACGAAGAAGTCGGTCTCTACCGCGCTCGATTCGTTTTCCATGTTATTTTCTGCGACCACACCGTTGGCGACGCTATTCCTCAAATAAATTTAAATGTCCTCGGAACTTGCTCCCGCTGACTCAGGCTCTCTTATGTATACGGCCCGCGAAAAGTGCGGAATTTCCTCCATTCCGACAATGGGAACTTTTTTTAAATCTACGCATCTAAAAATCTTTCCAGCGCTATCGACGGAAAACGGAATGCAACCCTTTTTACACAAAACGAATATCAAGGAGCATTCCCTTCTGCCCATTTTATTGTAAAGGAAATAAATTGGTATCGTATTTGAAAAATTACTTATTCTCGAAACCTTTTCATTGCTGCAATTAGACTTTTTGCGTTATGTCAAATTTCTTGCTGAAATATGTGAACGTAATTTAATATGTACGAGGACGCACGTGGTAGATAAGCGGAAGTAACGAAAAAGTGAGATGAAATACTGCAAGAGAAAACTCGGTGGGAAAGGGTAGGGAAAGGGTTGGGAAAGGGTTGGTGGAGTGAGAAATGGGTGGACGAGGAGAGTTTGTTGGAACGGTCGCGACCGCTTTTAGCCACCTACTTCTAGCCCGTTCTTTCGCCGCGCTCGATTAATTACTAAAGTTCAGTGCGAAAACATCGGCCCGTTTATTCACGAACTTATTAGTAGTCTATTACTTACTTACAACTGTTCCAATATTGGAAATCAAAATCGTCTGAGTTATAATTGAAT